ACATTTAAATGGTCACGCAAAAGTACGGAGTAGTATGGGAAAAATAAAACAAAGAAAAGTAGCAAAATCGATAAAAAAATTAAGACAAAAAAATTTGGAAAAATATGATGAACCGTTCTTGATTTAGTCCATAAAAAAGCTGCGGCCCAGCATTGATCCCCAGACCTCTGATCCATGAATCGGGCGCGCTACCGCTGCACCACCAGTGTGCCTATGGAGGTTTGATTACGTGTCTGAAGAGTAATCGGATTCATAAAGCACAAGTACAGGAGTATGTTCTTTTATTAAATTTTAATGGTCTTTACTAAAAAAATATGCGGGTCATGAAACGTCAAAAAAACATAAAAGTAGCTGGATGGATCCTATTTTCATGTATGCTTTGGTTATATTGAGAAAAAAAATAAAAGTGATTTCAGTAGAAATTCAAGAACGGATCACTTATGTAAGGTTGAAGAATTCACATATTGAGAGGTGAAAATACAAGAAAGTGGACATGAAGAGCAGGAGTTATAACAAGGATAGCAAAAGGGAATAGAAAATATACAATATTACGAACACTGATGAAGTCTAAATACGAGTCAAGGAATCCAAGAAACAATAAGAATTTGTAAGAGAAACATTAACAATAAGAAAAATAGAAGAATAGAAGAGTCAAGATGAAAGAATAACGAAAATAATCCTCTCCCAAAAACCAATCCGGGATGAAGGAGGGGCCGACCACGAAAAAGATGTACAAAGAATAAACATCAATGATACGAAGAATTCAAATTCAAGAATCACTTTTAATTTATAAATGGTTGAAGAATTCACATATTTTGGGGCAAAAATAGAAAAAAGGCTCATAAAGAACAGAAGATTAAAATAAGAATAACAAAAGGAAATAGTAAAAATGGAATGTAACGAAAACTAACGGAGTGTAAATACGAGTCAAGAAGTCTAAAACTGAGAATTTGGGTAAAAACTAGAAACAGACCTTTTGGAGAAGTCGGGGAGGAAAATATTAACAGTAATATACGGAGAATAAATACGAAGAACTATGCAGAAGAAGAAAAAAAAAGGAAACGGGAGCTGTTATAAGGACCCAAAAATATTGAGAGTAATTAAAAAAAAAAGAATACGATGATAAAGACACATCTAGGAAAAATAAAGCAGCTGATAGAAAGAAGTAGTAAAAAAAACTAAGTCATTGAAGAATTCGGATATTTAGGGGTGAAAACAGAAAAAAGGGAGCATGAAGAACAGGAGATTAAAACAAGAATGACAAAAGGAAATAGTAAATCACGGATTGTCATGAAGACTGATGATGTCTAAATACATGTTAAGGAATCTAAGAAATGAAAATATGTGGACACAGTTTACTTAAAAAATCAAAAATAATCCTTTAGAAAGATGGGGGAGGATTATATCAAGAGTAATATACGGAGAATTAAGACGAAGAACTATACAGAAGCAGAATAAATAAGGAAATAGAACAACTATATAAGAAACCAAAAATATTGACAGTAATTAAAACACAGAGAATACGATGATTAGGACACATCTAACGACTTCAAAATGAAAGAATGACGGAAATGGTCCTCTCCCAAAAAACAATCCCGGATGAAGGAGAGGTAGACTACGAAAAAGATGTACAAAAAATAAACATAAATGATAAGAAGAATAAAGCAGCAGATATAATGCACTAAAAAGAAGTAGTAAAAGAATGTATCCAAAGACAATAAAACCGTAGAAAAATATATGAGGAAAAATGAAGTTTGATAAAGAATGCAAAAAAAAACAGAATTGACAAGAAAAATACTACAAAACATCTAGGTAATAACAGTACAAGAAATAAACGAGGATAGAGAGAATGAAGAAACTAAGTGATTGAAGAATTCAGATATTTAGGGGTGAAAATAGAGAAATGGGACATGAAGAACAGATGATTAAAACAAGAATGACAAAAACAAATAGTAAATTATGGATTGTAATGAAGACTGATGATGTCTAAATACATGTCAAGGAATCTAAGAAATGAAAATGTGTGGACACAGTTTACTGAAAAAATCAAAAATAATCTTGTAGAAAGATGGGAGAGGAATATATTAAGAGTAATATACGGAGAATTAAGACGAAGAACTACACAGAAGCAGAATAAATAAGGAAATAGAACAACTATATAAGAAACCAAAAATATTGACAATAATTAAAACACAGAGAATACGATGATTAGGACACACCTAACGACTTCAAAATGAAAGGATGACGAAAATGGTCCTCTCCCAAAAAACAATCCAGGATGAAGGAGAGGTAGACTACGAAAAAGATGTACAAAAAATAAACATAAATGAGAAAAAGAATAAAGCAGCTGACAGAATGAACTAAAAAGAAATAGTAAAAGAATGTATCCAAAGACAATAAAACCGTAAAAAATATATGAGGAAAAATGAAGTATGATGAAGAATGCCAAAAAAAAAACAGAATTGACAAGAAAAATGCTACAAAACATCTAGGTAATAACAGTACAAAAAATAAACGAGGATAGAGAGAATGAAGAAACTAAGTGATTGAAGAATTCAGATATTTAGGGGTGAAAATAGAAAAAAGGGGGCATGAAGAACAGGAGATTAAAACCAGAAGGACAAAAGGAAATAATAAATTACGGATTGTAATGAAGACTGATGATGTCTAAATACATGTCAAGGAATCTAAGAAATGAAAATATGTGGACACAGTTTGCTGAAAAAATCAAAAATAATAATCTTTTTGAAAGATGGGAGAGGAATATATTAAGAGTAATATAAGGAGATTTAAGACGAAGAACTATACAGAAGCAGAATAAATAAGGAAATAGAACAACTATATAAGAAACCAAAAATATTGACAGTAATTAAAACACAGAGAATACGATGATTAGGACACATCTAATGACTTCAAAATGTAAGAATGACGAAAATGGTCCTCTCCCAAAAAACAATCCAGGATGAAGGAGAGGTAGACGACGAAAAAGATGTACAAAGAATAAACATAAATGATAAGAAGAATAAAGCAGCAGATAGAATGAACTAAAAAGAAGTAGTAAAAGAATGTATCCAAAGACAATAAAACTGGAGTAGAATATATGAGACGAACATAAAGAATGAAAGAAAAGTTTGGAATGATGAAGAATGCCAAAAAAATAACAAAAATCCTAAAAAAATCCAGTTAATTACAGTGAAAGAAATAAGGGGAGAAAAAATGAACTCTTTTTTAAACTTGCAAAAACAAAAAAAGGAGATACAACGAGAAGAAATTAAAAGTGAGATGAAAAAACCTTTCGATACTAATTCAAGTAAGGATCATTTTTAATTTCTAATGGGTTGAAGAATTCACATATTTAGTGGTCAAAAATAGAAACAAAGGAAAAGAACAGGAAATTAAGAACATTAAAGGAAATAATAAATTTTGGAGTGTAACGAAAACTGATGAAATCTAAATGCGTCTCAAGGAGTCTAAGAATTTGGGGATACAGGATGGTGAAAAAATCAGAAATAGACCTTTTTAGAAAGACGGGACAGGAAAATATTCAATGTAACATACGGAGAATAAAGATAAAGAACTATGGAGAAGAAGAACAAATAAGGAAATGGAAGAAAAAAAATAAAAAACATTGACAAAATTCAGACGGAAAATACGATGATGACGAAAATGGTCCTCTTCCAAAAACCAATCCAGATAAGAGGAGAGAGAGAGAGCACAAAAGAGTTGAAAAGGTAATGTACTGCAAGATATAAACAATAAACATGAATGATTGGAATAATAAAGCAACAGATAGATAGCAGTAGAAATAGGTACATAGTAAAATAATGCATTCTAAGTCTGTAAAAACGCAGTAAAATATATTAAAAGAAGATAATGTTAAAAATTATAACGGTATTATTTTATTATTTTAATCAGATATGAAAATTGTATTAAGCCCGAGGCCTTCAAGGCCTGTAATAAAACAATTTAAATAAATAAAAAACAGGAAAATCGTTTTTCATTAAAGATACTCTGCTAAATGTCAAGATGAAATAATTTCATAACGTTGAAAATCAACCGCATTCGTTAACAACTGGGCTGTAACCTTTAGGTTACAAAACTTTATTAAGTAGTATACAGAAACAGCGTGCTTACAATTTAACATATTTACAGTAAAATTGTAATTTGATAATAATGGTTTGTGGAACAACCTTTCCAAAAAAAGAACTTTAAAATTTCACCCGTTGCTAGTAATATTTCACTTTCTATAAAGTATGACAGGCCGATAAATTAAGTTCCTGTTGAGATTAAAACATACATCAGGAATGTGATTGCTCTCAGAAACAGTAAAATTTAAATCAAACATTTTGATAGGATAAGCATCGCCCGAAATAAACTGCGTAACAGCTTTAAGAAGCTTTCTGCAACAGTAAAGTCATAAACGTGTTAACTCGTCACGAAGTAAACAGTTTACGAAATCAGCGCATGAAGTTGTACACACAATGATTTCTACAGAAAATTTTAATTAAACAACATATTATTACCGCAGCCAAACCATCCACTAAACAATTAGAGCCGAGATATCCATCACCAGATAATTGGTGTCGTTTCCCGAGAAACCGCATTGCCGCTGTTTTCAATCAACCAGCAAAAAGCTAATAAGCGAAGTGATAAGTGAGCGTTTGAAACCCCCTTCTCATCTCGGACATTAACCGTGAATAAAAGAAAAAAGAAGAGCCCCCTTCACATTTCTCACTTTTTCCTGCTCAACTCCAGATAACCGTCGGTGTTTTCATTCAACCGAACAATAAATCAACAACAATCGCAATTACTTTTCTGCTATTTCTGTTTCTATTATTTTCTGGTTATTGCCCCCCGAGCTTGCACCGAACGAGGCTCCGAGAACGTTGTTTTGCTCATTTCGGATAATTCCAAGACAAACATCGAAGTTTGCTCGGCCGTAATAATAAAAAACAAAAAGCGAAGACAACAGCCGGAGTGAAGAAAACAGCAGTTGACGGTCGACATGTCGGGGAAAAAACGGACGCAGTGAATAGTGAAATATGGTTTTACTGTTTTAGTTTGACTGCGCTTTTCGCGTTAAGTAACTGAATAAATTTACAAATCTTGATGGTAAACAGTCCGCCAAACCGAAACGACCAAGTAGGTCGACGACCCACTGACAAACATAATCTTTGACTTGCGATTAACGGATGATGGAGTCGTAATCGCGCAAAAATAAAAATTTTATTGGACGAGAGCTGGCGTGTTCCTACCCGGAGCAAAATACTGCTTCGGAAGTTCGTTGATATTCTTCCGTCGCGGAAAGTTTGGCAATATATTTCGGGCTAATCCGGAAGTAACTTCTTTGCTGTTGTAACAGAAGTTTTCGCTGGGTCGTTAAATGCTCCCCGTATTTGAAAAAATAAAAAGTTATTTACGTTGGACTTTGCTCACTTTCGAGCCACTAGCAGCGCAGGAACGCATCGAGTTTTTGAAAAGGATCAAGTTGTTAATTTGGGTATGTACAATGTTCAATGTAACACCAACAACAGTTTTTAATTTACGCGTTTTTTAAAATTTACATCATCAACTTTCCGGATGGGAGGATGGGACGAATACGAAAAAAAAAACTCGATATTTTGTAACGACTGAATATTAGTGTCAAAATCTCTGAATAATGTGCAAGCAAAAACAAATTAAAGTTTCGCGATCCCCTCTACTATGCTATGGCTCACCGTTAGCAATCCAGAGTCCAGCCACAACACGGCGAAAACAATGGCTGTCTATATGCAACGATTGGTAATTTTGCACTGCAGACTACATTGGACCAAAGCAATTTCTATCTCGTCCCTCGCCCTCTTTTCCCCACACCACCCCTCGGTGGTTTAGAGAGCTTTTATTTTTGGCGACCTTCAAGCATTCAGGTAACGCCGTAAACGCAGTGGAGGTCAGTCGACGTTCGGACACAATTTCAAAACCGAAATAACTAAATTTATCATCAATTTATTGAAACGGATGAATAGACGGAAATCTTGGTAGTGTGTGATCACCTACAGGATCTTGAACTAGTGTTATTAGAGATTTTCTGTGTAATGAAATCGTGAAAACGGGAGATCGGCATTTTCGTATTCTACGAGCTGCGAAACGTTGAAAAAACTCTGAAACCTAAAAAAAATATATTGGTTAAAATGACCCTATGACAATATTTCTTATAATTCTTGTAATAAATGAGAAAATTCACGGTATCTCAAGTCCCGTTTTTTTTCTTCGGCCAGAAATCAATAAACATGAAAAAATAACTAGCAACGAACATAATGGCCATCAGTCCAATCGCTTTCGTTTCAATAAATTATTGTTCTGTGGCCGCCTACTACAAGTATTATATGTAATGGGGTCCATCGGACGAATGGCCTTTGTCAAATTTTGTAGGTATATTTCTTGTAGATGGTGAAACGCTAACCAAAAGTTGGCTAATCATCCCCACCACTAATCGAATGACGTAAATCTTATTTAAATTTTATAAAATAACGTACTCCTCCATTTGCGGTTTATGAGTCCATGTCGAGTTTTTACCTTAGGGATCCAGATTTTTGAAAAAAAAAAAATCAAAATTGGTAACTACATTTTACAATTTAATTATAAAATTGCAAAATCGGATACTTTGAAATCTTGCAAACGTTTTAAGATTATCGAAAGCATGGTAAGTGGTTAATCAAAATTTATCAGTTCATGGTTCCTACATTTGTGGAGTTTTGTCGAATATTTGTTTTTTAAATTTTAAAAAGTAACATAGTCCTTAGTGTTTATGAACCCGCGTTGAATTCTTATCCTAGACATTGAGATTTTTGGAAAAAACTCAATCTAACAATTTTTCGATTTCTCAATTTTTCGAATTTTCGTTTTTTTCAACTTTCGATTTCCCAAATTTTCGATATTTTAGTTTTGGGATTTTTCATTTTTTACTTCCCGAGCGTAAGCAAAGGAAGTATTGTAATCGAGTCCGTCGGCCGACTCTCTACTTTTACGTTTTCTCGATCTTTCATGACCCCTAGAAGACGAAGAAATAGGTCTCCCATTTCCGTCTGTCTGTCCGTCTGTCCGTCTGTCCGTCCGTCTGTCCGCCTGTCCGTCCGTCTGTCCGTCTGTCCGTCTGTCCGTCCGTCTGTCCGTCTGTCCGTCTGTTGTCCCGAATTTTTATTAGACAGATAATCTCCGAAAGTACTCGACCGATTGTTGTGAAATTTTGTACTTATATTAAGAATATCATGTAGATGGTAAAACGCTAACCAAAATTTGTCTAATCATCCCCACCACTAAAGCGATGACGTCACTTCAAAATTGTACATAGTAAATGGGTTTTCAATTGTATAAAATAACATAGTCCTACACATGTAGTTTACAACTCTGAATCGAATTTTCACCCGAAACGTCCAGATTTTTGGAAAAAAAATCAAAATTATAAAACAACATTTTGAAATTTAATTTTTAATCTGCTAACCAGAATGCTTTGAAATATTGCAGATGTTTTAAGGCTATAAAGAGCATCATAAATCTTTAGTCAAAAAATATTTGCTTATCCCCTCCAAAAACTTGATGACGTCAGCTCAAAAGTTTGTGGAATAAATCATATCTAAAATGTACAAAATATGATGAGTCTGTACTTGTGATCTATCACTCCATTCATATTTTTTGGATTTGCATATACAGGGTGACTCAAAAAAATTAATGAATGCGTAAATATATTTTATTGATTTAATCAGGAACTACAAAACCGAATGCTCTGAAATCTTGCAGATGTTTTAAGGTCATAAAGAGCATAATAAATGTTTAGTCAAAATATATTTGCTTATCCCCTCCAAAAACTTGATGACGTCAGCTCGAAAGTTTGCCGAATAAATCATATCTAAAATGTACAAAATATGATGAGCCTGTACTTGTCATTTATCACTCCATTCATATTTTTTGGATTTGCATATACAGAGTGACTCAAAAAAATTAATGAATGCGCAAATATATTTTATTGATTTAATCAGGAACTACAAAACGGAATGCTCTGACATCTTGCAGATGTTTTAAGGTTATAAAGAGCATAATAAATGTTTAGTCAAAATATATTTGCTTATCCCCTCCAAAAACTTGATGACGTCAGCTCGAAAGTTTGCCGATTAAATCATATCTAAAATGTACAAAATATGATGAGCCTGTACTTGTCATTTATCACTCCATTCATATTTTTTGGATTTGCATATACAGAGTGACTCAAAAAAATTAATGAATGCGTAAATATATTTTATTGATTTAATCAGGAACTACAAAACGGAATGCTCTGACATCTTGCAGATGTTTTAAGGTTATAAAGAGCATAATAAATGTTTAGTCAAAATATATTTGCTTATCCCCTCCAAAAACTTGATGACGTCAGCTCGAAAATTTGCCGAATAAATCATATCTAAAATGCACAAAATATGATCAGTCTGTACTTGTGATCTATCACTCCATTCATATTTTTTGGATTTGCATATACAGGGTGATTCAAGAAAATAAATGAAAGCGTAAATTTATTTTACTGATTTACTCAGGAACTACAAAACCGAATGCTTCGAAATCTTGAAGATATTTTAAAATTATCATAAGCATGGTAAATTTTTGATCAAAATGTATTTGGTCGTCCCCCCTAAAAAATTTATGACGTCACCCCAAAATTTTGCTGAAAAAATGCCATCTTCAATGTGTAAAGTATGATGAGTCCATACTTGTGATTTATCACTGCATTAAAATTTTTAATATTTGCTTATACAGGGTGTCTGAAAAAAATTAATGACGGAGTGAATTGATTTTGCAAAACTGAATACTTAGAAATCTTGACGTTTTGAAGTTATTGTAAGCGTGGTAACTGTTTAATCAAAATGTATCTCTTTATCAACCCCAAAAAAAATTCATTACGTCTTCTCACAATTTTGCTGAATAAAGTATATGATCTGACTATACTTTTAAAATTTTTAATATTTGCTTATACAGGGTGTCTGAAAAAAATTAATGACGGAGTGAATTGATTTTGCAAAACTGAATACTTAGAAATCTTGACGTTTTGAAGTTATTGTAAGCATGGTAACTGTTTAATCAAAATGTATCTCTTCATCAACCCCAAAAAAAATTCATTACGTCCTCTCAGAATTTTGCTGAATAAAGTATATGATCTGACTATACTTGTAAAATTTTTGATATTTGCTTATACAGGGTGTCTGAAAAAAATTAATGACGGAGTGAATTGATTTTGCAAAACTGAATACTTAGAAATCTTGACGTTTTGAAGTTATTGTAAGCATGGTAACTGTTTAATCAAAATGTATCTCTTTATCAACCCCAAAAAAAATTCATTACGTCTTCTCACAATTTTACTGAATAAAGTATATGATCTGACTACACTTGTAACTAATCATTGCATTCAAATTTTTTAACTTGCTTATACAGGGTGACTCAAAAAAAGAAATGAATCAGTCACTTTATTTTAGTGAATAAATCAAGAATTGCTAAACTGAATATTTTGAAATCTTGCAGATGGTTAAAATTGATTGTGAGCATGGTAAATTGTTAATGAAAATATATCTGTTTATTCCCCCGAAAAAATTCATGACGTCATCTACAATTTTTGCCAAAAAAGTTTAACTCAAAATGTGCAAAATATGATGAGTTTTAACATAAGCAACTGTGGCCTGTGGTTTAGTGGAGGTGGAGTGTGCAGTGCAATTAGAAGTTCCGGTAACAGATCCCGGCACTTCCAACTTTTTTCGCTCATCAAATCAAGAACAGCACTTCCGATTTTCGCAACAATAATGTTATAATATTTATTTATTTGTTATTGTGTGTTCGTGAATAAGCACCATAAATAGCAAATGTTGAAATTTTTTTTTGTGATCGGAAGAATATCTCTTAATCATTTCATATATTGTCAATACATGATTAACTTCGACTGTTAATGTTTATACAATACATCGAGAGAAGCAGAGAAAAAGTACATATGCATTTGCTTCAGTTACGTCACTGACCGTGTCATTTCTTTATCGCACGTTGAGACATAGTTTATATAAACAAACTCCCAGCCATAGCAAAAAGCGGAAGTTGGTAACGACGAGGGGCGCGGGGGGAATCACTTGTTTGGGTGGCGAGACGAAACAGTTGCGATTGCGAAATGCGAAGCCAATTCGAAAAAAACTGTTGAAGAGTGAATGTCATTGAGGATATATATCTCCAAATTTTAAAAATTGGACCAAGTTACAATAATTGTTGCCTGGTAAGTGCAGATATTTTGGATTTGCATATACGGGGTGATTCAAGAAAATAAATGAAAGCGTAAATTTATTTTATTGATTTACTCAGGAACTACAAAACCGAATGCTTCGAAATCTTGAAGATATTTTAAAATTATCATAAGCATGGTAAATTTTTGATCAAAACGTATTTGGTCGTCCCCCCTAAAAAATTTATGACGTCACCACAAAATTTTGCTGAATAAATCCT